AGAACGTACTCGATGGTGAGTAGGACGCGATTGATGCCTTGTAGTTTGTGCGAGAGGACTCTGGCAGCACCGGTGAGAGGCTAATCTATTCTTTCGGACTCAACGAAGGACTCTACCGAGTAATAGTCCAAACCTTAATGATATATAGATATTGGAAACACACTTACATTGTCCCATTTTTCTGCCAGCCGGAGAGGAGCAATGTTCTCCATGGGATTGCATACAGTTTTGACGAAAGGAATAGACAGTGAGGCAGCAGCAGCCTCAGCTTGAGAGACCGTCAGGAAGAATTCTTAGATGGTGGTGGCAATGGTGAGAGCCTGAGGAGGCGGTCCTACTCGCTCCACGTGGCCTTCTTCGGTGCGCGACTACGACTACATTCTTGCAGTGAGCGACCAGGACTGACTAGGTCCTACAACAGGTGCTGCTTCACATGGCGCGCCACCAGCTTCTTGATTGGCGTTGGCTGATATCTGACGCGATTTGGAGGGACAATATATTTCGACCGTGGACCGTGGACAACCTTGGATTTCTATTGTGCCAATACAAAAGTTCGTGGTTCCCTTGAAGATGTTGGAAAAGTTCATGCTATTTCCATTGCTTTAGCGGCCATGACTTGTATCTATCCCGAATGCGTTTCGACATGACCCTTTTGCTGCGACTTCGGTTTCTAGCTCGGCAGGTCCCTGGATTCTCAAGGCCATACTATCTTGTACCCCCATTTACGCGTATTCGACATTGATATCGTCACCGGTGGCAAATCAAGCGTTCCATTTGCCACGAATGTACATGGATAGAGAGGTCACAGTCCCAACACTCAGCTTTGTCTTCCGAGGCGATGAACTGTATCAACCTGGGATGACACTCAATCTCGAATTCCAAGCTCTCGAATCTGCGGAGTACAAAGATCTATCTGCCACGGTGGTCAAACCCTTCGAGCCTTTCACATCTTCCGTTGTCCTGCTAGTTCAGCGGCTCTCCGACAACCAACCGTTCATTTTAAAGCTAGCCGATCGCAGGCTGGGTTATCGCAGCAGCAACGACGACGACGCGGAGACGATGCCATGAACATCCACCATCGACGATCACCTACGATGTGCCGTCCGTGATATTCAGGCAGGCGTAAAGCCTAACTGGTTCCAGCTCATACAGGATTTTGACAACCGGCCTGACATTGAGCTTTAGGAAGATTGGATGTGGGAGGTCTGCACTTTGTTTGGGAAGGTGTCTAGCTACGACACAGAACTTGCTGCGTATTGGCTTTTGCATGGACTCCAAGGCCGATAGATCCCGCGTCTTTTTGGTGTTGTTCGTCTTCATATTACCCCCGACTCTATTCCTCTTCATCTCATCACCGATATCATCCAGGGGCTCGTTCTCGACAACTGATAACGATCCGGACGACCAAAATGTCCTCGTCTGCGATCAACTTTTAAGAGGAAGGGATCAGACTAGAAGGGAGATAATACGGCTCGAGGTTTTGTTGGGTAAATCTGTCCTAGGCTAACCACTTGCACGACAATATGAAACGACTCCAGACCTTAGTCCGACCATCTTCTGTATTCTCGAGGCCGTTTTTCATAGGTAGCCCACTTATAAGCTCACCGACCCACGACCGGCGGCGGTTGACACTGTCAGCAGTGGCAAAGCAGCTTCGCTCGCCACAAAAGTATGTCAACAATAGAAAACTTATTACGACTTTCTCATGATCTATGTTAGCGGCAACGACTTGTATCTCCCTGGGTCAAAGATTCATCTGCAGTTCCAGGAACAAGACTCCACGACATTTCGACCTCTGGTTGCTAAAATCGTCAAACGGCTGGAGCCTTTCACATCCTCCGTCGTTCTTCTCATTCAGCAGGTTTCCAACAACAAACAATTCATACTAAAGCTAAATGACGGCAGACTGGGCCATCATCACAGGCTCAATATGGAGGATGGCGAACTCCCGTGGACGCCAGCTCTTGAAGAGCATCTACCAGCGGCCGTGCGGAACATACAACTCGGAACGATCACCAACTGGTTCGAACTAGTCGATGGTTGGAAGAACCCGGCGTATCCCCGCACCAGAGACTGGGAGGACTGGATGTGGGAGACAGAGACTTGGACTTTGAGAATGGAAGAACATCAAATCGAGGTGGACGCATATCGTCTGTTGCGCCGACTACAGGGTCGTCTCATTCCCCGTTTCTACAGTCTTGTCCATCTCCCTATTTCCTCCTCCCAGCCTCTTCACCCGATCACGGATTACGTTTCCGGCACCGTCATCGAGTACATCCAAGGTGTGAGCATGGGCTCGCTCAAACCTGGCGTTGATATCCCTCGACCGGAGGCAGAAGCGCTTGCTGACCGTGTTATGGACGCCGTCCGCACGATAAAAGCGGAGAAATGTGTGATGCACAACGATATACACATCGACAATATTCTTCTGCGGGACTCCGACAGGTCCCCGGTCCTTATTGACTTTGCATGGTCCTTGACGAGGAAACCGGGGATGAATGATCAGGAGTGAGAGGATTCGGTTTCAGGGTCTCAGAACACGCGCTTTCCGCGTTGGGTTCTTATGAGTAAAGATCATGGAATGTGGAGAAGGAAGGAGACGCCACTGGTAATGTATTATTCTGCGCTATCATGGAACGAATACATCGAGAACCAGCCCGAAGATTGCCGCAGACAGACGTTCGAGAGGGTTCCGGGTACGGATTGGGAAGGTGTAAGAGAAGAAGTACTGCAGTGGCGCGTCAAGCCGGGTATTCAGTGCAGAGATGACCAGGCGTATAAGGTGGGTTCACTTTAAAGTAATTCACAGATCATGCTGGCAGACCTCCAAGCCGTTCAGCGGGATACAAGGGTTCCAATCTTGATAC